CAATCCAGGAGGCCCTCAGCTCCTGCTCTAGACCTCCAGTAGCTCCTCATGGCACCTGGATATAAAGGTAAACTTCTCCCTGACATTTGAGGCCTTCAGAGCCTGGGGAGCCCTGTGTCTCCAGCCACACATCCCCTCTTTGTTGATACCTGCTGGGTGATAGCCAGGCCTTCTTCTCTCTGTCTGGTAAATGTTCACTGCTGCTGAGGCTTCTGTGCCTCTGCTGTGATGCCAACTACTTTGGCTTTGGACCCCTCTTCCAGGAAGCCCTCTCAAACTAACCAAGTCTCCTCGACCAAGCCAGGACTCTTCTCAGAGACACTACCACCTTCCCCTACTCTTGACGGTCTTTTGTAGTCAGTTCCTTGCTGAAGGTCTTGGCCTTTCCCTCAGAGGAACAGCGAAGGTCCTGCAGGGTGACCTGGGGCAGGGCCAGCCAGGCTGGAGGTTTCCTGGAGGTGGAAGGCCCCAATAGAGGGAGCCAATTTGGCATCAAATGTTCTGAAACTGCCGTTGTGGAGGACACAGGCTCGGAGCAGATCTGACTCATTCCGGCCACCACCTTGCCTGGCTACAGGCCCTGCCAGAGGGCCTATTTGGATACCGTGCTAGCAGATGGCCCTGCAAAGGGAAACATCTGTTTTCGGCTAGGCTATCCAATATGGTAGCCACTGGCCACCTGTGCTCTTAGGCACTTGAAATGTAGCTACTTTGAATCAAGATATGCTATGAGTGTAAAATACACACTGGATTTCAAAAACTTAGCACAAAAAATAATGTAAAATATCTCATTAATTTTTATATACGGATGACATGTTGAAATGATAATATACTTTGGACATAATTAAGTTAAATAAGATATATTGTTCAAATTAAATACACTTGTTTCTTTTTACCTTTTAAAACAGAGCTACTGGAAAATTTTAAATTACATATGTGGCTCACATTATATCATGTCTGTTTTATAGAGGAGAACACAAACTTTTGAGGGCTCGAGTGACATATGGTACAAAGGCCGGTGCATCTGCCCTAAGTGTGTGAGCAGAAAAGCCTCCAAAAGGGATGCATTCCCCAGCCCCTGCCTCTGGCTGCAGGCCAGATACCATCCGTGCTCACAGAATCACATTCTCCCTTCCCCTCAGAGTCTTGACCAACCAGGGGTTCATTTTGCCCTTGAGGGTGAGATCAGAGTTGATGTTGTGACACATGGACATGGGGGGACACAGCCCAAGGTATCCAGGATGGGCAGATACTGTTATCTCACCTTCCTTCCATCCTTAGGTCAGCTCTGGCTGCAGCCAAGGCCTGCATCCTGCTCCAGGCCCCCTTAGCTTAGACATGAGTCCAAGGGGACATGAGCCTCCACCCCCACCAGACATCAGCTCTGACAACAATGCTGTCAGCTTACCTTGCAGTCTTCACCTCAGACCCGTTTCTGTCCATATCCCCAACCTTTGCTTAGACCACAGACCACTGTCCCCATAGATGAGCCCTTGGGCAGATAGTGTCCCCAGCCAGCCCTATGGGGACCTCTCAGACCCCTGCAGCAATAGCAGCTCTAGAGGTAACTGGGATTGGGAGCAGATCCTCTGCAGACAGAGCTCCAGGGGGCTGGGTCTTTACAGCCACCCCATCTCCCGAGGCCTGGAGAAGGGAGACCCAGGGCCTGCATCCTCCAGCTTTGGAGGGAAGTCTATGCCCCTAGCCTGGGCACAAAGTCTATGCTGTGGCCACTGGCGTGGGCTACCCTGGATACCAGGGAGGGCTGTCTGGGAACCTGGGAGCGAGCAGAGCCTATCTTGTCTTGAGTGCTCTGAATGTGTCCTACATCAGCTTCAGGAGGCAATCTTGTCCTGGGTGAGGATTCAGGACACAGTCCTGGGTCCCTTGAGGCCAGGTTTGCTGGAGGCATTTGGGATCCAGCTGGGGCATCCCATTTGGATGTAAAAGGGTCAAATCTTGGGCTGTGATCATAAGGAGGCCACTTTTGATTTTAAAATAGTTTTAAATTAAAAAACAAATTAAGGGGAAAGATTTAAGGAGTGAGGATTCTTGGCAGCCTTGGGATAATTACTATAAAGCCAGCTCCCATTTCTCAAGTCCTCTTTGGTGCCAGGCCTGTCTTGCCACCATGCCCACGAGGGGCTGGCCGAGGTCCCTGGCATTGCCAGCAGCGTCAGTCCTGTTGTTTCAACTCCACGTGGCCACCACCGTGCCCATCCCTCCCTCCCGTGGGTGGGCCCAGTTGCTGTGGCACAGAGCGGGAGAGTTGTGGGACAGATTCAGGTTCAAATCCCACTCTGCCACTTGCCTAGTTAACCCTCCCCCAGGCACATCATCACTGTCCGTAAAACGGGGGGTGAAGACAGTTCTTGTACCCTAGGGAGAGAGTCAGTCATCTGCCCCTGGCCCTTGGCCTGTCTTAAGAGGAAGCTTTACTAGCATTACTTTTCTTTTTTTTTTTTAATGTTTTATTTATTTTTAGAAACAGAGAGCAGGGGAGGGGGAGAGAGAGAGGGAGACAGAGGATCCCAAGTAGGCTCTACGCTGACATACTGCCACGCTGACAGTGAGGCTCGAACTCACCAGCTGTGAGATCATGGCCTGAGCCAAAGTCAAATGCTCAACCCACTGAGCCACCAGGCACCTCACTAGCATTGCTTTTCTGCTGCTGCCTGCCCCCAAGCTGAGCAAACACCGTCCTCCAGACACCACCCTTCTTAACGTCTCCGGAAACCTAGAGGGAGAAAATGGCCCTTAGATTGGGCCAGGGGTGCCTGCAAGGGCAAAGCTGTGCCTGGCCTCCCATCAAAGGGCTCTGTCCCTTCTGTTCTTCAACTTCAACCCAGTCTGGAGACAGATTTGTCCTGAGCATGGGAGTGAGAAGGGTCAACAGAACAAGCCTCTCCCTTCCCTGCATCCCTGGCTGGAAGCTGAAAGTCTAAGACCCAGTTTCTTCCTCTCCTTGTGGCCTCACCCAAAGTCCAGAAGTACCTCATAACCCAGGAGGGCCCTTCTGGTAATAGTGACAATGACAGGGGCTGTGGTGAAGTGAGCAGACAGATGTGTCACCAGCCTCTCCAATCTCAGCAGCTCAGCCTTCTTCCCAAGGTTGTTCATACGGGTCCTCAGCCATCTCTCCAAAGGCCCTGAACCAGTGCCCCCTCAGCAGTATATCTCTCTGCTTCCTGTTTGCTGTCCTCCCTCACTCCTCAGCCTCCAGGCTGCCTGCTGCCTTCCCTACCCGTCTGTCTGGGTTGCAGTGATGACTGGGTCTCTAAATCCACCTGGGCACTTTCCTTAGGGAGCCCTCCAGATTTGGGCTGGACTAGGGTGAGGCGAGGAGGCCGTTAGGGTACAAATTTCAGAAGATGCCCACTCTCAGGGGCATCTTATAAATGCAGGATTGAGCCTGAGGGTGCATGCCTCTTTAATTTTGCTCCCTAGCCTCATCCTCACCCCAGCCCTGCCTCAGACTCCTCAGCAGTCCCCAGCATGCCCCTTTCCCCTACATGTGTTGGGCCCTACTCTGTGACTTTTCTCCTACCTCTCAGCAGCTCCTCCTCAGGGGTTCGTACTGTTCCTCCTCTGGCCATCCTGGGCCCCCTCCCCTCCAGCACCTTAGGACATTTCAAAGCAGCCTCTCTACCTCTCTCCTGGCTAACACCCCAACATCACACCAGTTCCTAGCATTCCTCAGCTAGGGCCCTGTGAATCCTATGTCCACCCTGGTCAGCTCCTGCCCAGGCTCCCCAGCCCATGTGGAGGTCCTGCCCTTGGACCCCCTCTTCCTCTCTGATAGCCAAACCCTGTCTTTGTGCTTTACCTCCTAAACTTGTCTCATCCAGTCCCACCGCTCCCCACCTCTACCACCCCGTCTCCTCTTTCCTGGCTACTGGCCACCACCTTCTCCCTGCTGCTACTTCTGCCTGCTCATCTACACTCTTCAAGGATCTTCCCCCTTTGCCCTTCTGGCTCTTCCCAGCCTATACCCAAGACTCTTTATGACTCCCATTAGCCTTGGGAGGGGCCCAGGCTCTCCCCCCGGCCTCCAGCCCCCCTGGTCCTTTTCAGTTTTACACTCTGGGCTCTCTTTCATCTTTGAGTTTGCACACCTACTCTCCCCTTGGCTTCCAACTTACTGATCCTTTATATCTGCCTTGGAATACTGGCTGGAATTTAATTTCTTCACCAGATCAGGTACCCCCCCCCCTTTTCTGGGCCCTCTATATAACCCTCGCCTGCTCATACTGATGTCCCTCCCCACATACTGTGCTTGACTTATCACCATCAATTCCTCCCAATGTCTACAACAGTACTTGACATAGCACAGGTACTCAGTGGGTATTTGTTGCAGGAATAAATGAGTTTATTAATCATTGCATGGATGGATTGTCATGTAGGTGGCTTTGGTGGCTGGGAGGGGGTGAGGGAAGAAACTACCTAAGCCATAGCCAGTGTCTGCCCATGGCAGCAGGTGGCTGGAGGGAAAAGGCCATGTCATCTCCAGCAGGCTGGGTGCTGATTTTAATGGCCCGGCAGTGAGGTTCGTGCATGGCGGAGGCCTGCAGAAGAGGTAACGCCGAGAGGGCAGCTCTGCCCACCTCTAATTATTGCTTGAGTCTTTCTGGAAATGTCAGCTGCCTGCCCCAGGAAGCTCGGTCTCGTCCATCACAGTGTGAGCTCAGGGTGGGGCTGCTGTCACTGCCAGTGGGGAAGACGGGAGAAGATTCCCAGGGACCTTTGGGTCTTGGAGAGCAGAGGCAGCCTCAGGCTTGGACCATGCTCAGCTCCTGTCCTTCCTGTCCCCAGCCGAAGGGTGTCCCTTGACTTGAGGGTCCCATTAAGAATCCTCCAGGGTGGCCAAGGAGCAAGCCAGCTGAATGGGAGGGGGGTCCACAGCACCCCCCAGGCAGGGAGCCTCAGATGGTTTGGTGTCTGCTGACGTGGAAGCCCTTGGGAAAATGGTGCTCTAGTGGCCAGCTGGGCAGGTAGGTGGCTCAGGCCTGGAAAGAGGCCTTGACCACACGGCCCTTCAGTGGCTGTGGCGGCCGGAAGTTGTTTACCATGTGAATCCTCTCATCATCCTCTGAGGTGAAAAGCAGGCTCCGGAACTTCTCCATCTTGAGAAGACAGAAGAGATACTCAGGGCAGAGCAGGGGTGCTGTCGTTCTCTTTGATCCCTGACACATCATCTGACATACCTTGCCAGCCAGCTCTACCCCTCTCTCCTCTTGCTACCCACTCGTTCTCTTTCTTTGGGATCCTGATGTCAGTTACCCACAAAAGGGCCTTTGAACCTGGACCCTGCTCCACCTGGCTCTAGTTCCAACTCCATGTAGCTAAGACTTGTCAACAAATGCAGGATTCAGATTCTAACACAGCAAGGGTGGTCCCAGGATGCAGGGGTCTCCCCTCTCAGCCTGTGGTGAGGTCCTAATGACTAATAATCAAGCGAACTCCCAAACAAGAATCTAAATGTTTATTAGCAAAAGATGGGAGACTTGATGGTGGGACTATAAGCTGTAGCTTGCTGGTTGAGAGTGCCCCAGCCCTCCGATTTGTACTCTGGGAGAACTCACCTGCCTCTCAGAGATGCTGATAGGTTCCCGGAGCACGATCCAGGTGACACTCTCGCTCAGCGGGGGTGTTGTCAGGGAGCCTGGGTAGGTCCAGTAGTGCCGGCTGGCAGGCAGGAGGCACTTGGGGTTGAAGCAGCTGAATTGGGCCTTGGTTCCCTGGGGCAGAGCAGGCAAACCCAGGAATCAGCATAGACCCGCCGCCGGGACCAGACCAGCATCCTCCCCACTCTTTCCTGTCGGCAAGATTTAGTCTTCTCCTTGGCCCAATGATGCAAATTGTGGGCATAGGTCTGTGATACCAGATGCCACCCCCCACCCTGGACCCGGCCCTGTCCACCTGTTTTCTGGTATGTAAAAGCTGTGGTGCCTAGGGCTCTCTGGGCACCATGTTCTCTCTCTGCCTTTTCCTTCAACTACCCTTAGTGGAGCTGGCTGTAGGATGCCCATTAACACAACAAGCCATCTTATCAATCCTATACCAACCAGGTTGTCACCTGGGCACTGAGCGAGGCCACTGACTCCAATGAAGAGGAGTCATTTGCAGGGCACTGCAGCTGCTAACCTGTACTCTTCATCTCAGCGAGAGTTTGCTGTCAGGCTGCAGTGGACGGGCCCACTCTGTGCTCCAGCCTCTTCCTCCCACCAGGCTGCTCTGGGTCAAGACCATGGACCCCTGGTCTCACCTTAAACCGAACCATGTAGAGCGCGTCTGTCAGACGGTTCATGCTGGGGTGCTCATCCCCTGTCTGTCAGGGAAAGGGTAGTGTGAGCCCAGCACCCAGCATGTCTGGAACTAGGGGCAATGCTGGCCTCCCCGTGCCCCTCTTGGCCCTGATAACCACCCCTTACCTCCAAGAAGACACCGACCACAGCCAGGCCATCGGGCGCTGAGGCTGCCTCCCCAAAGGTGCTATACTTCTTGGCGTTCCAGTGAACGAGGTGCAGCTATAGGGGCAACAACAGGCCAGGCCAGGCCAGTGCTTAGCGCCTCCGAGGGGCCGTGGGAGCTCAAAGCCGGGCTTCCCTCTGCAAGAGGGGTAGGAAGCCCCCAGGGGCCACAGATAACATCCACACTGCTCTGGGCCCAACCCTTTCCTGAGCCCCAGGTGACCCAAAGAGAAATCTGGCTCAGGTCCTGCCCTGGGTGAACTGCGAAATAGGTAATGGCCATCCATGCGAGAAGATGGTGCCTGCAGCTGAGTCCAAAGGATAAGTAAGGGGTTATCAGACAGAACCCTGGGGAAAGATTCCCCAGGTAGAGAGAACAGCATAGGCAAAAAGCCTGGGAGGTTTGAGAGAGCCAGGTGTGGACAGGAGATTCTTCACATGCTGGTCAATGTGGGGGAGGTCAGGAAAAGATGAGGCCAGATAAAGCCACTTTCTGCAGGGCCTTGAACACCAGGCTCAGTCCTTGAAGGGTTGTCAGCAGGGTGTGGTAGGACTGGACTTGTCCTTCAGAAAACTGCTTCTCGAGTCACAGACCAGGGGGCAGAGTTCTGGTGGAATACCCTGTGCTAGGGGTGGTCTCTCCCAAACCCCTGGCTGTTCCTCCTCACCCTCTCTCGACCCCCACACCAGGCGCGTGACCATCCTGGCCTTCTCCAAATAATAAAGGGAGGGCTCAGGTAGAGGGCCTTTACCTCGCTGGGGAACGACTTGCCATCCACCGTGTGCTCTGAGCCCACACTGTGTTTCTTGCCCCAGTGGAAATGGAACTGTTTGAGTCGGTATGGCCCGTCCAAGGGCCCCCCAGTCACCACTGCAAGAAGAAGTGTAGTAATTTATGTGAGAGAGTCCACACGGCCCGGCAGCTGGTAGTGCCAGGACCAGGCCAGTGCCCAGGAGAGGGATAAAGTTTTCACTTGGAAAATTTGTTGGGCTAAGTGGGCTCGGGTCAGTCTTCACCCAGTGCCGTGGGCCCTTTGCGGGGCCAGGGCAGGAATCCAGGCAGCCTGCAGGTGGAAGAGGAGTCCGGTAGTGACAGAGTGCATCACTCCAATTGGCCACCCTCCCCGTTTCTGCCCACTTGTGCACAGAAGCTGGGCCCTTGTCTCCCAAGCTCCCGTTATCGCTAACAATAGGCCTTTCGTGTCTGGATCCCCTGGACCCTGGACCCAGGGTTAGATTGGGGGGCTTCTTTTGTTTAATCCTTCTAGAAGCCTTATAGAAGTCATAAGAGACAGAACTTTGTGTTTTCTCTATCTTACATTGGAGGAAAATGAGGCACAGAGAGGGCAAGGCATTTTGTCAAGATCATTCAGCAAGGCACTAAGTTAGGATATAAGCCTGTATCTCCTTCATAAGTCCAGAGCCAAATCCCCTAATCATCAGGCCACACTGTCTCCCTAGAACCTTTAGCCTTCCCAGGACCTGGTGTTGTCCAAAGGCCAGCTCCTGACGGTTCCCACTCTAATGGTCGGGCCTGGGCCATTCCCTGTGGTCTCTTTGGAGGTCCCTACTTGTGCTGGTTTTGTGACTTTCTCACCCTGATACCTGGTGAGCTAGAGCCAGGCACAAGGCCTCCTGGGACTGATTGAATTTCCAGGTGAAAGGGATCAGGCAGTCGAGGGAGCCCCAGCGAGGCTTGAATGTGAGTCGCTGGATCAGGTGACTGCCCCAGGCTCAGAGTTCTACTAGGCCCCTCCAGGACGGGTGACCAGGGCAGGGCCTTGTCCCCTGGGGGCCCCGTGAGGAGGAGGATGACTGAACAGTCCAAAGGCCATTCTTTGCTACCTTGCCCTATCTGAGAAGCAGGGCCTGTCCATAAGCATTGCTGGCTGGTGGACAAAAGAAGTCTGGGGCGGGAGGTGGGGGTATGGCCGTGGCAGGGGCCCAATCAGGCTGCTCCGTCCGTCCGGGAGAGGCAGGAGCAGCAGGGTCTGATATGACCTGTGGGGGCCCACCCCTCTGAGCATGCCCCACCTGGGATGCTGCAGTGTGGCCTCTCGGGGAGTAAACCCCTTGAGCTCGGCTCCCTTCTCCTCCTCTCCCTGTCCTAACTACAGAACACACTACTGTTCACTGTGCACTCACCATGTGTTCAGCACTCTGCTGGCATCAACCCCCATAGTGTCCTTGAGAGGAACACATTGTTATCCCTTATTGGACAGATGTATGACTGAGACTTGGAAAAGCAGGTGTCCTGCCCAAAGTCACACAGCTGGTGAGTGGCAGAGCCCCAAATGTCTCACTCCCAAGCCTACTCTCTTTCTGCTGGTTCCCTGTCCCCTCAGGCCTGGGTATTCTGGTAGGGAGGGAGCTCCATCCAGGCCTGAAAGTAAGCCGCTGGATCACTGGTCCAGAGGCATGCCCCCTTGGCTTCCTTTCTCCCTTCCCAACAACAGTGGCCTTCACGAAGCTACAGATGTCTGAATTGAACCCTTAATGCCCTCTGCAAGCTGTTAGGAGATACAGTCATATGAAAACTGCTCCATCACAAACTGTCATTTAGGGTCATCAAGAGCCCCAAAGCTCTGGGTGAGACGCTTTTCTAAAAATTCAGTTCCAGGAAATATCTTTCTTCTGAGAATCCGCTGGATTTCCTCCCCTCTACAACAAGAACTATAGCTGAGCCTCTTTCCCTTTTTTCCTAACCTACCAGGGAACTCAGGGCTAAGCAACTAAGATCACTCCTCTGTGGTTTCCTTCCTTTTCTCTGCTTTTTGATTTTTTACTTGAAACTTAATTTCCTTTGTGTGCTTTCATTGTATGCAGGATGAGAGGTGGAGACGGAGAGGCAGAGTACCAGTTACTCCCTTACACAAAAAACTCTAGCAGGTTCCCTCCTTGCCCCACTCTACCTTTCACAGGCCTGTTTATAAGGATAAAATCTCTTCACTGAGGAGCACTCCTGAGGCCTCCACCTAGGAATTGATTAGGAAAGAACCTGGACTCTCATCCCAGGGTAAAGAGATGCCATACGTTCCCGCTGGCCGCTCTCTGGTGCAGGCTGGTTGGAATCTTGAGCTCGTGGGTGAGTTGGAGAGAAGACCTTTGGAGTTGGACCAGGCTTGTTTGGAACTCCCCAGCAATGGGGCAAACTCCCCATTGAGTCTCTATTTGCCCGTTTTAGAGGTGGGTTCTTGAGAGAATAAAAGAACTGCCTAAGACCTTAGCAAAGGGCCTGGCACACAGAACACATTAGCTCCTTTCTGTCTCTGCTGGGCTTGGCCAGATCACACAGGGAGGAGGGTTTGGCCTTAGGCCACACAGCAGGTGACTCACAGGGCCCAGAGTGAAAACAAACCTGACCTAAAGCAGTAAATGGAAGAGAAGGAAGGGAATTCACATTTCTTGAGCATTTGCTATATGCCAGCACTACAAACATCACTTCCGGTTTTCATTTTTCCTCCCTATGACCCTAGAGAGGAAAAGAGCATCCCATTTTGTGCATAAGCTGACTGAGGCTCAGCCCAAGCCTTCAGAGCTGGTGAGAGGTGGAGCCTTCCTTCCCCGCCACAGCACGCCAGCCTTCCTGAGCCTGTCCAACACAGGGTGAGGAGCCCAGGGGGAGGGGGCCAGCCTCCGCCAAGGGCCACTCACCAGTTCGGTCGTCGCTGTCATTGAAGTCCACTTGGACAGAGTGGCCATTGTTGGTGATGCTGAGGGATATGCAGGCCTCGTAGGAAAGCTCCAGTGGCTTCAGGCTGGGCGAGTACACAGCCTGGCTGGACACGATGTTGATTGGTGACTGGCGGTCTCCCTGGGCAATGGGATACAGCTTGTGCCACTGTGAGGGGCCTGCAGATGGGGAGAGGGCAAGGACTCAGGCTAGCCTGGATCTCTGGGCCATGGGCTGAGGACACCTGTGGGGGATGGTCTCCCTGGTATCCCTTCAGAGGTTAGCCCCTACTTTGGGGCTCTAGTCCCAGCTCTGCCACTTCCCCTCTCCGCCTCCATTTCCTTGTCTGCAAAATGGCCTTACTAAAACTCATCTCCCAGAGCTGATAAGAGGCCCCGTGAGGTAATTTATGGAAGGGAGCCAATATAGTCACAAGCCAAGGGGCAGTTCTAGGCAGTGACTCCTCCCCAATTCCCAATAGTGCTCACAGAGGGCCCCAGGCATCTGAAGTCCCTGACCTGACCGTACCACGTATCTGGCCTCTTCCTGCACCTTGAGCATGTTCGTGTTGGTGTTTGTGAAAATAATAACATAAGCTAACACCGACCTAGCCTTGGCTCTGAGACATGTGTTCGTTCCTCACAATCACATTGTGAAGCAGATACCAGCATGATCCCCATTTCATAGATGAAAAGAACTGAGGGCAATTCACCCACACTTCGCACACACACTTCGGTACTGATATAAACACACAGCACGTGCATGTCTGGCACGTGCCTACAGACTATAGAGATTTTCATGGGTACATACGTATATGCACAGTGACCTGGGTTCATCGGGCCCAGAGTGGCCAGGGCCAGCAACATACGTGTGTATAAACACACACAGCGCTGCCACCTACACCTGACACACGCATATACACCGTCACACACAAACACTCCCTGTTGCAAACCCAGGTCTGCAATAAAAGACTACAGCAAAATACGTGCTCGTGCAAGCACATACACATACACCTGCGTGCACACCCACGAGCGCCCACCACCTGCCTCCCAGAGGCTCCATCTGCAGCCTAGAGGCTCGGCATCTCCCTGGGGAACATCCTGAGATGCAACCTATTTTTAGAGCTATTGCCGGCTGGTGCTTCTCCCCGTTTTTGGCTTCTTAAGTTTTCCTGAGAAAACAGCAGCAGGTGCCGACAGAGCTGTGTCCCCAATGGATGACTCAGAATCGTGGCCCAGACCCACTGGGTTATTTTTGAAGTCCTGTGAGCATGCCGCATGCCGGCACCTCTATTCTCTGTCCTTCCCTCTTTCATTGTCCCTAACCTGAATGACCCAGGTCTGGCTGGGTGAGGGGCAGTGGCCTGAGGGTGGTAGGCCCATGGGGCAGGCCCTATAGGATACTGGGTGCTCAGAGCTGGTGGGCAAGACTAGCAGATGGATACAGTCAGGGGACTCTGACTCTGGAGGAAATACCCAGAAACCGTCTCAAAGCGGGTGCTGGAAGGAAGATGATCTATGGGTTCTGTCAACCTGCCCCTTCTCTGCCTCTCTCTCCCACTTTGCTGGTCTCTGTTGCCTTTTTCTGAATGTCTCTAGCTTTTGCATGCCCAGCTCTGGGGGTCTCCCCTCCAAAATATGCTCTTGTGTCCCTGGATCCCAGAGGGAGCCAGACACACAACAGCCCCTCCCTAACTCCTTCTGACCCACTGCAACCTCCCAACCCCCTCCCAACCTCCTCCCAATTAGCCCAGGACCCCCATCCTCCCACAAAGAGTGACTGTCTCTCTCCAGAGAGGGAAGGCGAGGAGTGTTCCTGTCACCAGCACCTTCCTTTCTCCCCACATCCACCTGCCCTGCCTAGCATTTTCTCCTGGCAGGGTAGGTTTTGAGTCCTCGCTGTTCACCAGAGGGAAAGGGGGAAACACTTACCCCACACCCCTATACCCCCTTGGTAAGAAATAGCCCGAAGGGTAACTGACCTGTCCCAGACTCACATTCAAGCCATCTGGCTCTCCCTCTGCCTCTTTTCCCTTCCTATGCATCCTAAGGAAACTGAGGCAGGATCGGGTGCTATTTTCCCAATCAAACCAGGAGGCTCGTGTGGGCCACGGGCTCCCACGCTTCACACCAGGACGTGCTCAGACACTCTGCTCGATGTAGACACCTAGACACACGCGCGCGCCCACAAATGCCCCCTTCCGGCACGTACCTGCCAGCAGGAGAGCCCGGACACTTCCCCGGGGAAACTCTCCCGGGGACATCGCGCCCTTGTCCAGCAGAGCCCGGCTCCCGGGAGGTCCCCGCACACACGCCGTGCGCGCTCCCCGCCATAGACACCCGCGCACAGCGCTCCGCCCGGACCGCCCCCAGCTGCCCAGGGCCACCTCCGCCCCCTGTGCCTGCGGCGGGTGAGTGTTGGGGCCCAGGTCCGGGCGAGCACAGCAGTCAGGGGCTGCGCGGAGGAGGCGGCAGGACGCGCGCTCAGCCAGGGGGTGGCTAGCTGGCGGCGGGGCAGGCCGGGTCGCAGCGCGGACTTTGGGCCAGGAGTGGGGGAGCCAGAGCTTGCGCCGGGCGGGTGGGCTGGATTCGGGGGGCTGGGCCAGAGGGGGGTCCCGGTTCCTCCCTGACGGTTGGGGGCTTTAAGTCCGGGAAATCCGGCTGGGCTCGTGGGTTAGATCCAGCGGGTCGGGGCTGGCCAGGGTCTGCGCCTACCGTCGTTCTGGCCGTAGCCCCAGCCGTGGTGGCCGGTCATGCCGCTGTCGTCCCCGCAGCCGTGCACCTGCCTGCTCCTTCCTCTCAGTTCCGCTGGCTCTGGCTGCGGCTCCAGCCCCGCTCGCTACCGCCGAGCAGCCTCTTAAAGCTGCGGCGCGCGGGAGGAGCAGTTCCCGGGGGACCCGCCCCCCCAACCCCCGGCAGGGCGACAGAGGCCGGCGGTGCCCCGCCCCCGCCCGCCTGCCCGCTGGCCAGTTGAACCCCAGAGTTGAGTCGAGATGGGAGGGTGGGTCAGGGGACGTAAACCTCTCTCCCTACTCCCCATCCCCCCTCCCTGGCTGGACGACTCTCCCTTTTCACGTGTACGGGCTCTCCGGACTGTCCTGTGCTGAGGACTGCCCAGGTTTCCCCACATCCCACCCCATCCCTGGGCTTGTTCCTGAGCCGTAAATCCAATTCCCAGGGACCTGGACTCTGGGCCCTGAGTCCTCTGGGATTAGAAAGTCCCCTCTAATATGCAAAGTGCCTTGACCATCAAGTCACCAGAAGCGGAGCTTCCCCTGTTTGCCAGACACTAGGGCAGGCGCCAGGCCAAGCTTTCTGTCATCTACCTCTCGTATCTACCCTACGACATTGAGTGGTACTTCCATGGGCCCTCTTTCACAGAGAGAGGGCTGAGGCCTAGAGAGGTAAAATGACCTGCACAGCGTGCAAGGGATTCACTCCCAGTTTGTCTCACTCCAGACTTTGCTCTTTACCACTTCCCTTTGGTGCTGGGGCAGGGGTCCTGTGGTTATGGGGATCTAGGAGCTTTGGGTAGGAGAAGGGACAGGACTGGCAATCCAAACCCCTGGCCCTGGTGGAACCAGTGCCTCAAAGGGAGAATGGGAAGGAAGTAGCATCAACCCGCGGGCATGAGGACAGACAGTCAAGACCTGGCTCCCTCATAGACCCAAGACTGAGGTTCCCACCCTCTTATTCTCTCCATTGCTTCCTCCTTCCCTCCAGGACTCTTTGCCTGTCCCTCTACAACCTGCTATTTGTCCTTCCTCTCCTTGCCTCCTCATGACCTTTGGCACACCAACTGGGAGCTCAGGCCCTCCACCCTGCACTCAATCTCACTGCCTGCCTTGGCCCAACATTTTCCCGCCCACAAGCCTTGATCCTTGCTGTGCCCTCCTCTGTCTTCCACCCACTGGCTTCAGGCGGCCCAATCTGATTCATCCTAGGATGTGGCCTTGTGCCAAGGATAGGTCTTGTCTCTGACTAGGCCTCAGCAGGCAGTTTTGGGAAGACACACAGATGGGTGGACCCAACAGGAGGTGAAGGGCCATTTGACCTTGACCAGAGGAGACTATTTCAGGCCCTGCTCTTGGCTGACCTTGGGAAGGAGTCTGCCATCTTGTCTGCTGGCTCCCCTGCATCTCTGTGGCTATCTCAGTTTCCCTCTTCTAGGCCCTGAACCTCAGTTCCACAAGCTAGAGTTGCAGAGATTAATTGATAACTCCTTGGCTGGGCCAATGTCAGTCACTGACTTCCCAGCCTGCCTAGCTACCTTTCTCTGACCCAGGAGCTGGAAGGGGTTTTTGCTACAAATATGGCCATCAGGCAGCGGCAGGGGACTTGTGATAGAGATTCAGGGGATGGGGCCCCCAAGGGCAGCGTGTGACCGAGAATACAACACTGTCAAGGCTCCAGGTCTAAGCCAGAACTGTCATCCTCAGACCAAGAAGACATACTTGCTCCATCCCAGAGGAGGCAGCCACCCTTCTCCCGGGGGAGTCGCACCACTCTCAGGGCCTGGGGAGGGGGCCCAAATATATCTACTTTATTGATCTGCTTCTCCTTTAGAGTGACCCAGGCCTTTTCCATAGTTATTTATAGTATTAAAAAAAATAAAGTTGGAATTATTCTTACAGCTTGCATCCAATGACAGCAACCGTAGGTGGATTTTTGTCCCGTTTTACAGATGAGGAAAGGAAGGCTTAGAGAAGTTGAGTTAGGGAAGAGTTAGGGAACACAGTGACAGAGCAAAGATAAAAATCCAGAGCTGTTGAGTCCCTTATTCAACACGTCTAAAAGCACAGAGAGGGGGAGGAAATGGATTTTAAATTTGATTGTCATTTGCATATATGCAAGACTTTCTCTGGAAGGACTTAAGAAAGCTTGGGAGAGTGCCTCCAGGAAGGAGACTGGGAGACAGGGAGGGTGGGGGAGGGTGCTGAATGGGGGTAGGAGGGACACCACTGCTTACTCCTTTGTACCTTCTGAAAGAAACTATTACCTCTTTAACAACAAAATAAAAGTTGATCTGGTTTGTTTCCTTCCTGCAGCCTGTCTTCAGCAGTTTACTCCAGGTTCTGGAGTGCTGGGCACTCAGGCAGGTGAAGGAGCCGATGCACTCTGCCCCTTTCAAGTGAAGCCCAGTTGCCCCAGCAACCCACTCAGGTCAACCTGGGAAAGCCTAGGGCCCCATTCAGGCACCTCCCATTTCTATTCTGTGTTGTCTTTACAAATGAATTGATTTCACTGCCCCAAAATTTACTCTTTGGTCTCACTGCATTAGTGGTTCACTGTTGATGGGGAAGGGGAACATGAGGAGGGGGTGAGTGGGTATGAGGGCTATGATGGAGGGCTGGAGGAGGAGGGCAGGTACAGTTTACACAGTCATATCTCATTCATCAAGTGATCTTGACCAGATCTCACTTCCTCTCTGGAAGGTACAATGTCTTTGCTCTACAAGATAACTGAAGGGATTGTCCCTGCCCAGCCTTCCTCATGGGGATCCCTGTGAGCATCGGTTGAGACAATAGCTGCCCAATGCCCTAGCAACAAGTAAAGTCAGGTGTACTTCTCATTGTACCTAATGCACAGGGCCAACAGGCCAGGCCAGAATCCCTGTGGCCTGGAGACTCTAAAATCAAAATTACAGTTTGTCATATTTTTTAAAAAACATTTCCACTCAAAGTACGTATGTTTATGTGTGCATACAGTCAGATGGAATGATCTCATGCATGGCTCCAAGCATACCTGGCTGTGTGACTTGGAGCAAGTTACTTTACCTCTCTGAACCTGTCTTCTCATCTACAAAACAGAAATAGAGAGTCTAGAAGGCTAATAGGATGGTCAGGTGACATGATGTCTGTGAGACTCCTGGTATCAAGGATGTACTCCTCGGACCCTAGAATGTCTATTGTTGCCCCTTTTCCTTAGTTTGCTGGGCACATTTAGAACCCCAAACATCCCATTTCTAATTACATCTATTCATTGTAGGAAACTTGGAAGAATCAGAAAAACACAGAGAAGAAAGTTAAAACCACTGGTTATGTTATTACCCAAGAATCATCACTATTAACATTTTAGTGACTATCCTGCCAGGCTTTTTAGGTATGTCTGAGTAGTACTGAAAAGATAATGAGAATCATATATATAGCTTTGTGACTTTTTTTTTTTTTCATCTAATGCCCTATGGTAAGCATTTCCCTGCCTTCGAGAGCTCAACACTTAATAATCTCTAGTGTATAGATTATTTCTGGTTTTCACTATTGTAAATAGCACTACAGTGAACATTCTTATTTATACATCTTTGTGTATGTGTGTGCGTGCGTGTGTGTGTGTGTGTGTGTGTGTGTGTGTGTGTGTGTCTGATAATTTCCTTGGGACAGATTGCTACACGTGGAATTACCAAATTGGATGATATACATATTGCCAGTAAGACATTTTAGTGAGAAAGTATGGTGGAAGTAGTTTCAGAAATTTATTCTTTTGGGGCACCTGGGTGGCTCAGTCGGTTAAGTGTCCGACTGCAGCTCAGGTCATGATTTGGCGGTTTGTGGGTTTAAGCCCCGCATCAGGCTCTGTGCTGACAGCTCGGAGCCCGGAGCCTGTTCCAGATTCTGTGTCTCCTGCTCTCTCTGCTCCTCCCCAACTCACTCACACGTTATGCATTGATCGAAGACTTACTAATGCCACATTCCGGGCCAGGCATGGGAGATACAACTGTGAACATTACAGACCCACACCTGCCTCGGGGAGGAGTGGGGGTGAAAGGCGAGAGATTGGCTAAGGAACACCAGGATGAGAAGGGCTAGGATAGGCAAGGACAGGAGAGATCGTGGTAGAGGCCTGGGAAGGTGTCCTGGGTTGTGACTTATTCTTTCTGCCTGGTTTCTCATGGATTGTAAGCTCTTCCAGGGCAGAGCTAGCCCCAGACTGCTTGGGAACCCAAGGATCCAGGCTCCCCCAGCTAAGGCCAACCAAGATGGGTAAAATAATCGACCTGATCTGGTGCCTGGCGAGATCTGTTGGGGTGTTTGTTTCTAATTCTTGTACCACCTTTTAATATCTGTGAGGCTTTGGAATTTTACTCACCTCTTCAAGCCTCTGCTCTCATCTATGAAATGGGGTGATATCTGTTGCTTTGGATGAGCACAAAATGAGGTGATGCATGGCAAGGGCCTGCCTGGCATATAGTATCAGTGCTTGATAAATGGGGGTACTATTGTAGTTATGGGGCTCAGTTTTCCCACTTGTTTGTTCAGTGGGAAGTTGGGCTAGGTCAGTGGTTATCAAACTTGACTGTGCCTCAGAACCACCCGGAGCGCTTGTTAAAATGATTCCCTGGGCCTTACCCTATCCCAGAGTTTCTGATTCAGCTGGTCTGGGATGGGGCCTGAGAATTTGCATTTCTAATGAGTTCCAAAGTGCTGCTGTTTCTGGTGGTCCAGGACCACACTTTGAAAACCAACGGCTTAAATGCATGAGGCCATGGTTTCCTAGTTTGAGACCTAGTTTCTCTGTCCTCCACAATAGGAAAAAGTCATCAGTGGGCCCTGAGTTCTCAGATGGCAAGGTTTGTGTCTGATCAAGTCAACCTCCATGGATCCAGCACAAGGACTTTTATATGCTATTACTGGTTGAATTGGGTCATTCCCCACCCCACCCCACTGCTGGCCATCCTCCCTCCCCCCAAAAAGTTGCCAGCACCTATGAATATGATATTATTTGGAAATAGTGGTTTTGCAGATGTAATCAGGTTAAAATGAGGTAATTTTAGGGAGAGCCCTGATCCAGTGTGACTGATGTCCTTATGAGAAGGGATCCAGACAGAGACATGAGAGGAGAATGCCATGTGATGATGGAGGTGGAGACTGAAGTGTTGTGGCTGTAAGCCAAGGATTGACAGCCAACCACTAGAAGTTAGGAAGGCCAAGAAGGATTTTCTCCTTCAGGCTTCAGAGGGAACAAACTGCCCACACTTTGATTTCAGACTTCTAGCTTTACTGTGAGACTATACATTTCTGTAGTTTTTTTTTAATTTAAGATTTTTTTTTCTTAAAGATTTTATTTTTAAGTAATATACCCAACTTGGATCTCGAACTTACAACCCCGAGATCAAGGGTCACATGCTCTAATGACTGAACCAGCCAGGAGTCCCTACATTTCTGTAGTTTTAAGCCACTAAGTTTGTGGTACTTTTGTTACACCAGTTGTAGGAAACTAATACTGTGAAGTATCCTTTTACAGACACCACCAACGTGAAACTTTGTCAAAACCATGCATTTCTTCATAGGTATTATGACTTCTACTACCAAATTTGGGGATGTAGTCCATGCAGTCCATGACTACACAGAACATGAGAAGCTAAGCAGTGAACTCTCACCTGTTGCCTTTTGAGCTTCTCACATTCCTGGGTGTATTTTATTATCCCTTATATTTCACCTGTCCAACTGGAGAAGGAAATGTGACAGCATAAGTACATGATGAGCTGGGAGAGCCTCATGCCTTTGTTTCCCATCAGTTGTATTCCATGGGTGCCTGGGAAGTTATAGGAGGGTGTGCCCCACACTGATCCTGGAGACAGCACTCAGGGGAATTGCATCTATCATCACTGCATTATTACCGTCAAACTGTGCCTCCTCCCTTGTCACCATCCCATGGTGGGTTGGGATGGGGATCTGTACTCATTTTCACCTTGTTTCAGGCAATTATTAACCTGAAGGTGCCTGTAGGATCTGGAAGATAGAGGGGGAAAGAATCCTCACCTTCCTCCCTGCTGTTTGATTGGCTTCCAGTCTCCTCTCCCTCTTCCTCTTGGAGCAACCCTCTTCCTTGGCACCCATCCTCACAGGGCAGCCATCCTGTTCCCCCCAAAAGTGGCTCTTTTCAGAAAGTAGAGGGCTTTAAATTCCTTCTCGCTTTTCTGTTCACGGCCTCACAACCTGGCCCCTGCTGTCTATCAAGCCTCCCCTGACCTCTTCCTACTCTTTGTCTAACTCCCCACTACACCAAATTTCCTTTAAAGCCTCCATCCTGCCATGCCTTCTCTGCCTCCCAAGAATGACACCTGCTATTCCTTCTGCTTTAAAAGTTCTTCCTTGCCCACACCATGTGAAACATTCCTGGAGAGAGGAGGGGGGAGTGGGTGGAGTTCCTCTGTGCACCTTTCAGCACCCCAGCTTCCCTCGATTTATAGGAGGGCCACATTGTCTAGTAAGTACTTATTTATTGTCTCCCTCCCTTCTCAAGACCGTGAACTTCTCAAGAACAGGATCTCGGACTTCTTTGTCTTTATATCTGCAGTTGGGAGCAGCTAACTTTGTGGTTTGAAACAGGCCCTTGTGTGGGCTTGTTGCATGGAGAGGATGGAAGAAATGAGTGAACAATAATGATCATAATAATGAAAGTTATTATCCATTCAGGATTTTTTGTGAGTTTGGCTCTGTGTATTCAAAATCTCATTTAAGACCTGGTGATGGAGATCCATTTATCCCCAATGCACAGATGAGCAAACAGAGGATTTGAGAGGTAAAGAGCATACTTCACAACTAGTACGTGGTTAAAGACCAAATCTGCCTGATTCCAAAGCCAGAATCCCCCACAGTTACTGCACGTACAAAGTCACGGACTGGCAGCCTAGCAGGGCTGGAGCCTCGGGGGAGAAGACACTACTCTGGGTTCCGGCTGGGCCCGCATACGCCCCAGGTGTACTGGCGACGCGTGCGCAGTGAGGTAGTGGCGCCCCCTGCGGGCGGCGCGCGGGAGGCAGCGGCGACGAAGGGGCGCTCAATGCGCCTGCGCACTCGTGGAAGTGGTGGCGGTGTTCGGTAGGGGCTCGGCTGTTCGCGCGGCGGGTGCGGCCATGGCGCAACCGGGGAAGCTGCTCAAGGAGCAGAAGTACGACCGGCAGCTGAGGTGAGCCAGGGCTCACCGAGTCGGGCGGGCCGGCCGGCGGGCTCTTCCACGTCGCGGCCGGGCCTAAGCCAGCGGGCGGCGCGGGCGGGCCTCTTACAGGCCTCCCTCTAGGCCAGGGCGTGCAGTCCTGGCGTTGGGGAGCCGGCTCTGGGGGCTTCCCAGACTGGGGGCCCCAGAGATACCCTTTGAGGGTCGGGACTCCCCTTCTCCAGGGGGCGCGCCCGTCCGCCACGAGGTGTGCAGTTCGAGGTGCGCGGTCCCAGCATCGGCCCGGTCACCAGGGCGGCAGCCGGCCCCGCCTAGCTGCGCTCTCACTCCTCATTTAGCAAAATTGGGGAATCGCGAGTACCCCGTCCTGTCTGCTGAGAGCGGCGCCGAGTGTTAGGGACAGCCAGCGCTGTCCGGTAGGAATATAATGCCAGTATTGTGTGAGCTGCATATGTAATTACACATTTGCTAGCAGCCACATTAAAAAAAAACAAACAGGTGGAAAATACAGTTTATTTAAACCCACTATGCCTAAAATACACCATTTTAACACTTAATATACAAATTTGTTAGGGATACTTTACTTTTTTTTTTTCCATATTGTCTTCGAAACCTGGCATTTTATACCTGTAAGCACATCTTAGTTCCGACTAGCCTCATTTTTAGTGCTCAGTAGCCAAACGTGGCTACAGGCTACCTTAATAGACACTACAGGTCTAAGCCATCCGGCAGGTCCTTGGCTAATTCTTCTGCCTTGCTTTTTCTCCTTACATTCCCCATTCCTTATTTATTGAGCATTTTCTGTATGTTAAGGCAGTGGAAGTAACACAAATGCTTGGTCCCCATCCTCTTTTGGAGCCCCCAGGCCGGGAGAAGTTACAGTATGTCCCTATGTCCCCTTGAACTCCCATTTGTACCTCCAGTCTACTGCTGTATTAAGAGGCTTTAGTCACTTAATTCTGAGAGCAGCTTTGAAGGCAGACATTCTCTTGGCTTTATAGATGGAGAAACAGTCTTGGAGAAGTTAGATAACTTGTCTGAAGTCTTCCATATATTTGAGCTAGGATGTAAATTAAACATAGGCCCTTCTGGAGCTCCTGGGTGGCTCAATTGGTTAAGTGTTTGACTTTGGCTCAGATCATGATCTTGGGTATGTGAGTTTGAGCCCCGCGTCCAGCTCTGTGTTCACAGCTCAGAGCCTGGAGCCTACTTCAGATTCTGTCTCTCTCTCAAAAATAAATAAACATTAAAAAAAATTTAGGGGCACCTGGGTGGCTCAGTCGGTTAAGCATTCAACTTCAGCTCAGGTCATGACCTCACGGCTTGTGGGTTTGAGCCCTGCATCAGGCTCTGTGCTGACAGCTCAGACAGAGCCTGGAACCTGCTTCAGATTCTGTCTCCCTCTCTATCTGCCCCTACCTGGCTCTCTCTTTCTATTTCTCTCTCAAAAATAAATAAACATTAAAAAAAAAATAAAAAATTCAAACAAACAAACAGGCCCTTCTGGCTTTTTCAGAGCCTGTACTCATTCACATCACTCTGTTCCCAAGCTTCTGGGAAAGGTAGCAAGGTGACAGAGCCCTTATAACCAGCTTGTGTTCTCTTATAAATTTTTAGCATTGCTTGTGTTTTGTTGTTGTTTTTTTAATTTTTTAATGTTTATTTTTGAGAAAGAGGCAGAGTGAGAATGTGAGCAGGAGAGGGGCAGAAAGACAGGGAGACACAG